TTTTATATCAAGTGTCCATTAATGTTATTTCTAGGGAAGTGCAATTGTTCATTGAAGGTTGCCGCCCGACATTATTTCGTGGGTATAACCGCAGGACAAATATCTTCCCCTCTCTGTGACTTCACATGCCGCACACCATCTCCTTAAAAACAAAATCGACCCCTCCATAGCTTTACCAGAATATCTTATAAACAAAAATGTCATCTACGCTGCCTCTGAGTTCAAAGATAAGCCCGCCTTTTCTTCATAAAATCCAGTTTCTGTCTCACTTCGCAACTTCCCTGTCACTCCCCTCTGGACCCTTTCCAAAATCCCACATATGCTTCTCAATTCCACCCTCGAGTAACAGCAACAACTCACAAGAAGAGGCGCGGTGGTTCAGGGAAGAGCAAAGGTGGCTCAGGGAGGAGCAGAGGTGGATGCGGGAGGAGTCTCGCTGGAACGCTGAGCGGGAAACATTGTTGCAAGAAATTAATAGTCTTAAGCTCAGAATACAGGAACTCGGGCGCCTCAACTCTCTTCAAGGTGCTTCTGTCTCAGAGACTGTTGCCAATATTGCGAAGTTGCTGCAGGTGTATATTGAAGGGGAAATTTATCTCTTCTGTATAGTGTGATTTTTTAATTCGACGAATTCTGAGTTGGATTAGCAGTTCTTGAATTATTAATAATTTCGCAAATAATTTCTTTAAATATTTGTGAATAACCTTTGATATTATGCAAATTCTTTCCTTTATCATGCTCAATATTATAGCTTAAAGCTAATATTTTTGAATCATTTCATAGTTTTTGGTATAGAAGAAAAATGGGCGAACTTTCGGATCTCGTTGTTTTGATTATTTCATTTTTCTTTCAGTTCTAAAATGAGAATTAAAGTTAATGTATAATTGCATTTTGTTGTTTCAAACAATGTAACTAGTTAATAATAATAGTTACAGCAATTCAATCAATGCCTCACTTTCTCGGTAACAAATTTGAAAAATGATTTTTATTGCAATTTTTGTATGTTACTTCTCTTTTCTTAACAACTCTTGGTTTGGGAATGTGCCAAAATGAATTGCTGAAAATATTCGATAGTGATTAATAGTTCAGTTTTGCTGTAGGTATTTAAGGAGGGAGAGAGAGGGAAGAATGTGAATAGAATTGCAGAGAGTGGGTCAATTACTGTGCCGCTAGTGGTTGAGGCTGCAAAAAGGGATGAGGAAGTTATTGTGAAGGAAGTACTTAAAGTTGCAGATAGAGAGGAGAATGTGAAAAGGAGGGAATCATTGAGGAAAGGATCAGAAGGAGATGAGGTTCGAGCCATGCAGGTATACTTGCAAGTTGAAGCTTCCTAGATCAAATATTTTGTTCAACTTATTTGATATAGAATTTATCACGAATGTTTTCAATTTTAGGCTTTCTTTATTCTGTTTTTGCATGCCTATTTGCTATATGATCTCTCTTGATTATGCTTTGCTGTTCATTTGTGTCTTTTATGTATGTCTTCTTAAATTTGAGATGGCTTTTTTCTATTTTACATTGTTTTTAATAGGAAGCTTTGCAAAAGCTGGGATTTTATTCTGGTGAAGAGGACATGGAGTATTCAAGCTTCTCTAGCGGGACTGAGCGTGCTGTAAAAACTTGGCAAGTATGTTGCATTTTATAAGAGGTGTACCACAAAACAATCTGGTCACCAGCCATAAAGTCATTTTCCTTGGACGAATGCACAAACGATTGAGATGTTGTCGCCCTTATTTTCCCTTTTATTGACAGGCCACATTGGGAGCTCCGGACGATGGCATTATGACCTCAGAGCTTCTCGAGAGGTTATGTATTGAGCAAAATGCTAGAATTTCTGGCTTGGGAGTGACCAAAAATCAAGGAATTAAACCAAACTTATCAGAGAAGGTGTGTTCCATCATTTGGTGCCTTTTCGCTTTTCCAGCTCAAAATGTATAATACTAACTGATTTGATTCATTAATATCCTAAACCTCTGCCAAAGATTTTTTCTTTTTCCACAATTAGGATAAACTAGTGGCTAGTTTGAGCAAACATTGAGAGAGAATATTAAATAAAGCTTTTTGTCATGTGTTGGGTTCTACAATTTGTCCTTTTTCTGTTTTATATCAGATATGCTGCTTTTCATTTGAAATTAATGATGCATGCTTATGGAGTAATTGGCTCAGGCTTTTCATGCCATGAACCAATATAGCAGAAAGAAAGTGTGTCTGGATGCATCTTGGATTTAAATGAAAGAAATGACGGTGAATTGAAAACTGATTGTCTATGTACAGGAAGAACAAGGGCAGGAACCCATATAAGTAAACGAGAAAAATGGAATTTTCAAGTTTAACCTGGCTGTTAGTTCCATCATTCCCAATGTCTGAAAGAAGGGGCTGTCTAGGTTAGATTGTGATACGTTATTCAGAACCAGTTGTGTCAATAATTGTTCCAGCAATCTAGTGTAGGGAATTGATGTGTTAGATATTTTACTTGTTCTAATGTGTTGTTCTATGTTTTCAGGCTCTACAGCTTGGGTCTTGAGAATTTGCAAAGCTGTACATACATTGTTAAGTCAGTCCCAAAATTGCACTACTATTTAATAGGGAGGGGGCATGTACTCAGTACGCACTGTGAACACTAATAAACATTGCTTCTCTTAAATAAATCTTCATCCTCTAAATTTTCATTTCCATTAGCAAAGGGTGGATGCCATTATCTTAAGAAAATCTACCAGTAATGATTTTTGAACTTCTCCATAATTGTACGAAGGAAGTCTCAATTTTATTTATTTATTATTATTATTATTTATTTATTTATTTATTTATTTTATTTATTTTTTGTAGTTTTTTCCATATTTTAGATTACAAACATTGATCATTGCATTCTCAAGTGATATAATAATTTATATCAGTAAAGGACAGTTGTAGCAGAAGCTTAATGTTGATGCAGAATATTCTTAGTGAGTTACATGGCTCACAACTTTTTCACTTTGTGGGTTCTTCCTTAGAAGAGTGAAAATGGAGCTCCAACTGCTTCTATTACTGCAATAACTGAAGTTCAGCGGACAGTTTCAAAAGAAGAAGGTACAACAGGAGTTGAAGTATCTCAACATCGAGTCTTTCTTCTGGGTGAGAATCGATGGGAAGAACCTTCCAGACTTTCTGGGAAAAGCAGACAAACTGCAGCCACGAATGATGGTGGCAATACTAAGACCAAGTGTCTTACTTGCCATGGGGAAGGTCGAATATTGTGCATGGGTACAAGTTTCTTTCTTTTCTCATTCATTTTATATGCTAGTAATTTTCTGCTTGACTTATTAATTTAAGATTTTGTGACATCATAGCGTTACATAAATCACACAGTAAGGTGGAAGTGAATAAAAACTGGAAAATTGGAGAACCAAAAAGAAAACGCCACAAATTTGTTATATGTAGTCATCCAAGGGCTTCTCTTTTTCTACAATGTACCATCATATCAGTCAGTTCCATTTAATGTATGCTCTCTATTTTTGGTAAATGGCTTTATGACTTCCATCATCTGCTTGTTTCAGAATGTCTGGACCTAATCGAGCTCTGGGTTTACTTAGATTCACTTTAGATTGCCTCATAGTGAAGTATATGATTCTAGTCAGCTAATTTTAAATCGGAAGCTAGGTATCATGGACATAGAACATAAGTCTTTTACAAAATTATGCAATTTTTATCGGTCACACAGTCGGGGGCTAATATCTATTAGTTTTTTCGCAGAATGTGATGGATCTGGTGAACCAAACATTGAACCACAGGTTAGAGGCTTTCTGATTTATTTGTAGTTGTTATCAATGGTTATTTGTACAAGTGGTAACTTCAACTTACAGCCAGTGGTTCAAGTTTGTTGAATGTTTTCTCATGGTTCAACACTATCAAACTGTTTAATAAACAGTCGACCAAAAATCAATTTTCTTCATCAGAGAGTGAACTGAGCTATAAATCATTGTAACCAATGACTTGTTCGATTTCTTAGGCTGGCTCCATTTGTCAATTAATTGACCTTTGTGAATGAAAGTTGATCTCTGGGTGATTAATGCCATTTACACATATCCCAGAGCCAGTGCGTGCACACTCTTAGCTTGCGAAATACCATTCTTGTTAGGAGTAAAAACTAGAGCTCAGTTTGTTGGTCTTCTCATATGAAAACCAAAAGGGCTTTCCTGAATGCAACCATTGTTGCTGATAACAGTATTTTGTGGTTTTTTATACTAATGACAGTTACGTGATGCAGTTTCTTGAATGGGTCGATGAAGGAACAAAATGTCCGTACTGTGAAGGCCTTGGATATAACACTTGTGATGTATGTGAGGGCACGAAATTTGCTATTGCTTAAATTGTACGTATTTTCAGGTAAATATATTTCTGTTTCATTTTGACGAGGGGTTGAGGGTGTTCCTCGAGTTATGTAGAACAGATACACTAATTAACATTACATAAATTTGGTTGACATGTAATCATACATTTCTCATTTGTATCGAATTCATGCCTCAATCGTTGTGCTTGACTTGAGTAATACATAGTAGTTTTAAAAAAGATCTTACAATTATTGGCCTAATATCATTTTCATTACCATTCCAGAATAGGACTTCAACGCTACCAGTTCAGTACTCTGCACTGAGAAGATGGATAGAGCAAATTGAAATTTCGATTCCATGAATTCCATTGAAACACCCCTTTCAGTAACATTCAATCCATGAAATAAACTTAATGCACCAGGAAGAAACTCCCAAAGGCTGCATATAAACTGTCTGCCATGAAGACTGAAAGCGATGAGGATTGCGGGCAATCAAACAGAGAGCAGATCTGATCTTGGCGGCCTATCCTCCTAACCAGTCCCTTTCAGTAACATTCAATCCATGAAATAAACTTAATGCACCAGGAAGAAACTCCCTAAGGCTGCATATAAACTGTCTGCCATGAAGACTGAAAGCGATGAGGATTGAGGGCAATCAAACAGAGAGCAGATCTGATCTTGGCGGCCTTTCCTCCTAAACAGGTCTAAACTCGATACCTTCAACGATGAGACCTGACTTTACACCAGGGTTATTAATCTCTATCAACCAAGCCTCCACTTCTCTATTATCTTCTTCTCTATTGTAGAATTTTCCCATTTCTATTTCCATCCAGCCATCCCCTCTCACTTGTGCAATTTTCCCTGTTCCTTCTGATTCAAGTTTCTCAGTGCCCTCAACAGTTAAAATCACACTGTTTTCCAATTGAGGATAGACGAATCTAATCACTGTTCTTGATGATTCAAGGCCATTAAATCTTTCTGCAAGGCGGAATACTAGATATGCTGCATAAGCAGTGTTCGATGACAACGTCTGAGTTTTTATCTTGCCCCGAATATGGATAGAACCAGGACATTTAAGCTGGGCCACCTCAGAGAATCTGTAAATATAAATTCACATTCAAATTATTATAGATTCTCACGTGGGCATCCGTTTCCTCATGATATATATATATATGAAAAAGCAGTTTTCTTGCTTTTATTGGAATTCCATGTACGTGGCATTTGAATTGAAAATAGTCTGCTCATGAAGAGATGTGTTGATTATAATCTCTCCCGCACCTGGATTGTGGGTGTGGTGTCCAGCTCCAGCACCCTCTCCATGATAGTAAAAGTTCTCTGGCTCCTAGCATATAACACTTCTTTCCATTCCTTCTATCAAGAGAAAAACTCTGTTTCAAGGTTAAAGGAGGAAATTACACCACACACAACGGATTAGTTGAATTAATTAAAGTGTCAATTGTCTCAGGAGTTTCCAATAGTAAACCAACAAGAATTATGGGAAGTGTAAATTTCATGGATTACATCTTGCTTGACTGTGTGTGAGTTGAAAAAGTGCTTTAAAACTATCCAATCACGTGTCGCTGCTGCATGACACAATGTAAAACTTGATGTAAAAAAAATGTAAATATAGCGTGATTGAACCAACAAATGTGGAATTTATGATTTTATCAGAAAAATGGAAGGACACCTGTATTATTTACTCCAAATAAAAAAGTCGTGTTCTTATTAAAATTATTGGGTGTTTACTCAACACCTGATTAAACGTGATTCAGTTACTGTTAGACGTTTCACTGGAGAGTGACCTGTAAACAGTGATGAGCAAGTTGGGTCGGTATTCTTAGTCGAGCATATGAAGTTTGTCTGTTTTAACATGAAATAAAACGAAAGTATACAAGTATATGAACTTACTGTATTGCCTCCATGGAGGAGAATAGGGGAATAACAGAGATGAAAATATAGGTGTTTCTTGGTGGCATATCGCACTGGAGAAACCGATGTGGAGATGATTTGCTGATAATCCGGTGGCAAAAACCTATTCCAAACGTTGTCAGAATCAGAAGCGGATTTGAACCCGTGTGAGATAATTGAGAATCTTGCCGCGTCCATGGGCGATGTGAATGACAGAACGATGGAGATGCATTCCTCAGGCAGCCTTGCAAAAGAGTCCATGTCCCTACTGTTTGTCTTCTTTAAGAGCTTGATCTCTATCTCTTGAGAGAAGTGTGTGACTGTCTCTCCTAACTCTCTCTCTCTCTCTCTCTACGTGTCTCTATTTGTGCGTCTCCTAATACAAGCATCTTAATTGCTCCTATTATCGAAGCCCTTTGTGGGTAACTCCTACTCCCTCCCGCATGTGGGACCCACCTCAATAAGAAAGTGCAAAAAATAAAATTACCCACTCCATTATGAGTGAGTTGTCGGCAGGAGTTCTATGAACCGCCACCCCGTACAAGAAGAATGATTGATATGTTATTACGTACAGCAGATGTCAAAGAGATCAGAATTTGTTTGTTTTGTCCACTTTTCTATGTGCTGATGGCTCACTTTAGAGGGCAAATTTGGTGTGGGTTCCCAATCTTTCATTTAGTGCACGAATAGGTCATCAACCTTCAAAAGAAAAAGTATTAGTTTCCAATCTATTTAAATATGTGAATTTACATCCTTACGTTGCGAGCATCATCAATTTGAACATTAAAGTTGCACGTATCTTCTAAATGACCAGGCTATATTGTAAAATCACTTTACATTTATCTCTATTTCAACTCTTGAGATTTTAACATCCAAATAGAAAAGAACTTTACTCACATATTGAAATATATTGAAAAATCAAAACCTCTATTTTAAAGGTTGAGAACCTATAAATTTGCTCACTCAAATCATTACACGTCGTACTTTAAGCCACTCTATTCACAAAACTTTAAATGCCGAGTGGAAAAGAGAAAAATAAAGGGAGATTTACTTGCCTTTAATCATCAGTCTATTAAACCTTCCACTATTTTTTTGGACGAGGTATGCTAACAAGTAAATACTTGTGGAGTTGGTAAATGCTTAGTCTCGTAAATTTCAAAAAGCTACTAGTACAAGTGGAAAAAACTCTATATCATATACAAGGCTGAATATTTCAAACGGCAAGGCATTCGAAGAAGGAAAACACCATTCATTGTTAAGTACGTGTTTGGCACAATACTGTACTTGAGTCGACGGTACAATGAAAATATTTTTACTTTTCTCTCCTTTAATATCGTTTGATAGTCTGGTCCACCTCGCTAAAGAAGCAATTACAGTCATCTCAAAAGCAAAATAACAGCTCATTGTATACAAAGTGTTGAAATTACAATACTAAATTTTTTTCATCAATTATTGCAGCTGAAACACATTTGAAGTGAGAAAAAAGCTATTGCGAAGCTAAGATCGTTTCTGATTCGCCCAACATTCCCCACTTGTCTGACTTTGACTGAAATCCCAGAAAGGAATGTTCATAGTGGTTTCTACAACATGCTCTCTCAATGTAAATATGATGTTTTTATCGAACATTCATGTCTGTTTACCAGCCGCGATCCGCCTACTGACCGACCGCATGGTCACAAACTCTTCTGCAGCAGAAGGGTGTATACCTACCTGGAAAATGGATCAACTGATGCATCAGCAATAATGATGCAGATTTAACCCAACCCCTAGCTTTATAACCAAACTAAAAAGATGAGAGCACGTGGCACATGAGATTTACAAAAAGGCATGATTCCACTCTTCATTGTCTTCATAATGATCAAATTTCAACAGGGATCTTTTATACTCAATTCTTGAAACCCGGCTTCTCACAGGCATGTGAAGAAGGAAACAAAAGCATAACAAATAACACAAGCTCTGAAAAGTCAGCTGGCTTACAGTGCTATCAAATTGTGCTTTGGTTGCTCCACATTTGAGTGCAACAGCAATACCCTGTGTTGTACCATAATAACTCATTCAGTATATACCCAGTTAGTGATAGTCACTCTAGCAATATTAATTCTTAAACTAACAACACGTCTAGGACCTAATACTACGTGCCAAAAGAGCGTGTTATATGTGCAGTATGGATATGACTTTACTAGACAAGCTTTTAACTTTTGTTTCTTCCTTAATACTATCGAGTGACATACAATCCACCTTAACAAATAAGCCACAAGTGGAATATTGTTTTTTAAGTGGACTAAAAGCCATAATCATCAGTAAGATTTATTGTGATTAGTATAAAACCAGTACTTTCCTAGAATGCTATATGGTGTAATAATTAATATCTCTTAAAGATATGAATACAAACATAAAATTAGACATTATATAGAACGCAAACATAGTAAAAAACCCATTTTCAGTAAAATATGATATTAGCTGACAGAACCTCTAGAAAGAATTGACACTTCTGTATTTATTGTTTATCAAACTATGTGGATGCATATTAAACAGTGGGTAACGATCGTGGCTTGCATTTTAATATGCACCAACCAAGCATATTGTCTTCTTTTAAACGTTGTGCAAGTTTTATTTCAATATGCTTGGTTGGTGCGTACTTCTATGTCAACTAGTGTAAAAGGATGAAAAGCATGAGGGATGTCTGTGTCATATGGTAAATCTAGATTAGTTTTCCTTGAGGATAGTTTAGACCGATGTGGACTTCAAGCCAGTCAACAGTTGGAGGATTTACATTTTTTTATTTTAGAACCACAAAAGTAAGATTTGTGGAGCATATAAATAAGACGATAACTACTTTTTGTTACCAAATTGCAAAATAATAATAATGGAGATGGATAGGAGAATCGAGGAGATGGAAGAAAAAGAAAGAGACTCCAAGAAGAGGGAGAGAACAATAGGGGAAAGTGATGCTTAATAGGACCTAAGCCATTTCTAAACGACATGGACGGTATTCACATCATAGGAAGCCCAAAATATTAATAGGGGCACTCAAAACGTAAAGCTCATAATCTAGGATCAACCTACATATTTAAGCGTCTATTTTCCTGCTTGATAGTTTGCAACACAAGATGCTTATGCGGCACAAATACCATAATGCACACGAATGAGAAGAATAAAAACACACTGTAATTTTATACATGATTTGGCAACTCTAAGTCAACTGTAAGTATAAAAGAGAAATTTCCCCTTGTACTCAAATTCAATTCATTTTCCCTCCATTTTCAACAATAAAAAAAATATGATGCCCCACATATATAATATTTGATTTAGGAAAAAATGAGTAAAGATCTAAATGTATACCTGCATTATCTCAGCAGCATCAGGCCCACACATGGATGCTCCAAGAACCTTATCAGTCTCACCATCAACAACAAGCTTCATAACCGTTTTCTCTTGACATCTATGCAACAAAACCACATATCATCCACTAATAAAGAACTTGCTTCAACAGATTTTTTTATTTTTATTTTTTTTAAATCAAAATTTTAATGAGATGAAGTTCAATTAATAACAATTCCCGAGCAAATTTTAGGCAATATTACTAAGTTTTCACCATTCTGCATTAAGCAAATCAATTAATATAATGAAGATATAAATTTTGTGTATGTAATGCAGTTATTGGGTAATCATAACCAATATGAATTGGCCAACCCTGAAAAGAAACATTTCATTGAATTTTTAGAAGTTCTGAAACAGCAGAATCTTTGGGTTACAAGGTATTTGTCTCTAGTATCATAGGCTCACAGCCACAACACTTGCATCGAAAGAATCATTGAGAAGGTATTTTATTTTCGGCACACAATACCAACATTCAACCAACATACCCAGAAATGGTGTTCTTCATTGGATTAAATGTTGATGTGAAGACCAAAATATCACCATTTGCTTGCTCTATGGCCTGTTCCTCACTGAGACCAACTACTGACAGTGGTGGTATGCTGTCAAGCAACAAGAGATTAAAGTTATAATATTGATGAGAAAGGCCCAGTGTGATAGAATTTGACACAAATTTTAGTCTATTGTTGGTAAGGAAATAGTGAAATATGATTGTCAAGTATATTCACTGTGAAAAATCACATACAGTCAAGTCCTCGCCCAAATTCAAAATATTAGCAGTGATCTTAGAAAAATAATAAAACAAAACGCAAAATTTACCAATCCCAAATCTATAATCTGGGGTATTAACAAGAATTACTTATAAGGTAGTTTTCGCAAAGCCAAGAACCCAATTTTAGCGGATATGCTGTTGTTCCACAAGCACTGATATAGTCCATTCGTAGATTATAAGCCTTTATGTTTTAAATGTTAATCGCCTCATCTAAATGGTCAAGTTGTTAGAGAAGGACACATGTATCCATTTAAATCTCATCTTCAACACTCCTTTGTTTGGCTTTGGCTTTGATACCATGTTAACTGCCTCATCTAAAAGCTTAAGCCATTAAAGAGAGACCACATGTATTCAATCAAACCTTGCCCTCAACATTAACTATTGCCACTGTCCTCCCTCATGTCTGCTTCTCTTCAAAATTATCTGCAGTCGGTGATGATGGATGCTCTAATTTTATGGTTGCTTAACCTAAAAGTTCTCCAACATACAAAAATATTATTTGGTTGAACCAGTAAAAGACCAGTTCTAGTTTAAAATACATGGGAGACACCTGGGTCCAGGTGGAGGCATGAAAACTTGGCTTAGGCTTTAATGGTATTTCGGGAGGGGGGAAGAGTTCTAGTCTAGCGTAACTAGACACTAAAACATTGGTTTATGGTTTTCTTGTTAGTCTCCTACACAGCTTTTAAAATGTGGGTTCCGCATTTATGTAACAAGTGGAATTCAACTTTCACCATGAACGTCATGAAACTAGGAATATTTTGAGACCAATTCAATCACCAAGGTTCAAATCAACATAGACAAAAATGTTGTTCACCACAAGAACAGTTACACTGTCTTTGCCTTCAAGAGCACAGACACTAAATAAAACTATCGCAGTATCAGTGAAACTGCAAACTTATAGCATCCTATATCAAAAAGTATTAGCAGTAGATTTCTTATGAACCCATTGAAAATAGGTCACGGTTTGTACAGTGAAAACATAAACTGAGTGCATGTACTCCACAAACATCAAAATTGTAAATGGAAGTAATTATAGTGTACAACTCGTAGTGTAAATATTACCAAACAAAAATTGCCACACAAGTCTAATATTAAATATGCAAAATGAAGAATAATAATGCTTGCATTTTAAAAAGCTGGCCAAGGAGAGATGGTAATACCAGAATACAGCACAAGGAACATGGCTGTAATCAGGTTTGGAGGGTTGTCCACCAAAAACAGTTTTCTGCAGCAACATAAAATAAAGAAGTAAATTACATAGAAACAAAAAAAATATTTATGTAGCATGTTAATTACGAGTTCATTCATGAAAAAGAGCTTGGAGAACTCAAACAAAGATAATGAGAGTTCGGCAGAAAATATACGGCAAAACAGGTTCCTTCCATTAATGCAACAGGAGTAAGATTCATTCGGTCTGTAACGTCACCGATGGCCCATATGCTAGGTAAGTTGGTGCGAGAGTATTCGTCAACCTGACAATGGAAATTAAGGGATCGATAAACTAGAGGATAACTAATATGGCATATGAATTAAGATGACAGAAAATTTTAGTGTGATATCTCATCACCAAGGAGAAAATATAAAGCCAAATGCCATGTCGAAAGCCAAAAAAAAAGGGAAAAAGGAAATAGTTTTCCATTAAGCCATAAAAATTTTAGGAATCCAACTTTATAATTCACCCAGGTCAAACAATGGCGGGGTATAACTACACTATGGAAGAGTTCATGAACACCTAAGGCAACAAAACTAGCCATGCACTAGAGCATATTCATAGCCCAAGCTCAGAGTGACTAGATTATTAGAAAGAGAAGAAGACAGAGAGACTAGAAAGAATTTTAGAGGGAGAGAATACCAATTTTATTCAATATCGTAGTGTAACTATTACAATGCACAAGCCCTTTATATAGGGTTTAACCTAGTATAATCTAAATAGGAAAACAGTAGAAAATCTATCACATAATTACGTTTTCTAAAATAAGTATCCAATTTGGAAAGTAAATTTCTAAAATAAGTATCTAATTTGAAAAATAAATTAAATAATATCTCTACTAGGATTCCCATCACACGATATGTAATTTTTCAAGCTAAATCAACAAGTTACATTGTTTCCCGGCCTTCAATTCATGCACTTATTCGAAATACAAATAGGAAAGAGAACTCAATAACAGGGCCAGCAACCTTCACGGCTCCAGTCTTATCAAGTTCAAGACCTACAGCTTCCAGATTCAACCTCTTTGTGTTAGGTGCCCTACCTGCAGCCAATAGCCAAGACAAATAATCAACCTCTCACCAGATAGAGAAAGTAAGCCAAAAGAATTAGAAAAAGAAAATTGCTGCAGATTAGAGATTTCAGGAGTTCATTCACAACATGCTACATAAGTGCAATGCAAACCATCAAACATAAAAATCACAAAAATAGTCTCCTGTTACTATGAAAGACAAACTGCAGAACAGAAATTTGTATGCAAAATCACTAATCATGTGTGTACCTTCTTTCAGCAGAAATTAAAGAAAAAAAATGAGGTCTCGTGCTATCTACCCAAAGAATATTTTTCTGCTGATATGATCTTGCAAGTTGAATTCATTATATTTAACCTAATTTCAACACATTGTACTTTGAGAAGAAGCACTGTACCACCAACTTACAAATTATGGATATCGTTTGGTGTATCTACGCTCAGTAATTCAAAGTGGGGAAAAATTAATTATTATGCACTTAAATAATGACTGAACAAGGTAACAACGTGATTCTCAAGTGACCAAAGACAACATTTTTTATCGATTTTCTATTGCATTCCACCCCCCCCCCCCCCCCCCNTGCGTACTTTTATACCATCTTCTGTTTTAACTAGCTGCACACCAAATCATTCTACCAATCAGGTTTAAAATAAATGGAAATATCATTAACATAAAAAGAAGAGCAAGGAAACGCTTCTTCGAAGAAGTTTTGACGTAGAACACAATCGAACAAGAATGAAACTTGAGAGAGGAAGGGAAAGAGGTGGAGAAAGAGATTAAGAGGGAAAAAGTACAAGTTTATTCAATAATCAAGTCTGACATTACAATGCATAAGCCCCCTTTATATGGGTTTCAAGTAACCTAATTTAAGTTGGAAAACAACTAAAGAAATGCTATAAAACCTATATAATAAAACCTTAATTACATTTCCTAAACTAAGTATTTAGATTGGAAAGTCTTCCATATAATATCTCTACTAGGATTCCCTTGAGGTTCTCTATATCTCTCTCTTTATTTTCTTTTCTTTTCTTTTTGTGCATGGAATGGGGATGGGGATTATGTGATAAATGTAATAAGAGACGTAGAGAACCTCAGTTAAGGTTGTCCTAGGATGCATAGTAATTCCCCTGCCTTCAAGATTTCTTGCAACCACTGCTCGCATTTCGTCATCAAAACCTCTGAAATTATATTTTATAGATAAATGCCAAGAGATACAATGCACCAGTAAAAACATTTATAAAAATGACAATCGGATAAGAAATCATGCTATCAGTAAGAAACATGAAAAGAAATGTAAGGAACGGCAAATGCAGCAAGTAGATTTGATATATATCCACATCCTACTTGGGACCTTAAGCATCCTAGTGTTTTGTTCTTCCTTTATCAGTTCACAAGATTGGTATTCCATTCTAAACGTATCTTTAAAAAAATTCTGGTAAAAAACTTGACTGAAGATCTTCAAATTTTAAAATGAGTTACAAAACTTCAATTATCAAATTTTAAGGTCGAGATAAATTCAATTTAAGTTGGAGTAAAAGACCTCTTTGAGCCGACAGATATTCATATAGTCAACAACAATGAAGTAAAGTTCTCTTAGAAAATATCAAGACGATACACAACAATTCAAAGGAAATATTTTTCATGATAAATCTTTGAACAAAATGTTTTTATTCCAACAGTCATTGAAAAAAAAATGTTAGATGAGATGTCCTGTGTATAAAGGAAAATAAAGTACAGAATACCAGCAAAAGCTATGGTTCACTTATGCAATAAACCAGAGTGTCAGTCAAAAGAGTGATAATGGCCCTTGTCCAAAAAGTGGCCAAAAGGAACACTCCATTGTGCAGTCAAAGTTACGGAAGTTGCTATTTAGTATTTACTAATGGTAACTAACTATATGCACTAGGTAATGGCTAACATGGCAATCTCCATAAATTATCCATTCCCTCACTACTTCCAAAACCTTAAATTTCATTATTAATAATCACTTTGAAGATTGAAGAACAAAATTTGCATCAGTACTGGAAAAATATAGTACAAAATTCAGGTGCACCATCACAATGCTACAATGAGTTGCAGCCTCAAGGAACCGACAATTTACAAATTAGCCTGTGAGCGAATTATTGTGTGCTTCACATAGCCCACACAATTCTTTCATTAAATACACCAAGTTCCACTTTCACAGGTTGATTCACAACACCCTGACAAACCCCAAAAGTAATTCCCTCCATCATTAATTCGTCATAGAAATCTTTGCATCGCATTGCTTTGGAGCCTTCAGCTATGGTGAGTGATGCTATGACTATTTATAATGGGAGTCTTAGCTGAAACATCGCTTTCGGAAGGGGCTTACATGATTGAGAATTGGATGATTATGCGTTGTTTTTGGCTTTGTTGTATGATGTGCATATTCAGGTAGGAGAGGAGGACTGTAGCGGTGGAAGGTGGCACGGAATGGTATGTTCTTTGTTCGCACTTATTTCAGATCCTTATTGGAACCTGTGGAGAGTTCATTCCCCTGGGAAATGGTATGAAAATATAAATTACCTCCAAGGGTGACATTTTTACTGTGGACGGTTGTGAGGGGGCAGGTGTTAACGGCGGATAATCTTCGAAGAAAATGATGCTATATTACAGAATGGTGCTATATGTGTAAGAGGGATGGAGAGACGATCGATCACATGTTCATTCATTGTAATGGTGTTCGTTGGCTGTGGAATGATATTCTGGCTTCGCAACATATGAGTTCGGTGTTGCCAAGGCGTATAGAGGAGGTGGTGCGG